GTTTCAATAGAAAACAAATATTCATAATGAAGCAATCATTTGCATTAAGACTATGCCTCAGGTAAAAAATCTGCTTTCCCACTCAATATGTCTTGGGTGTCTAATATGGCTTAAAATGGTCTGATGTGAATGTGTCCATTATTTAAATCCCCATCTTCTACTTGTGATTACAGAAACACTCATGTAAAATTGGGACTTTTCGATGATGAGTAAAACAATTACACTGAATGATCAAATGTACTACTTTTTTTTTTAAAAGGTCCCTAATAAACCGTAAAGAGAGCTGCTCTTTCATGCTTATTTGAATAGTGTTACCACTTCAAGCCGGTGATATCAGCAAGTGACGAAGGGTCAACACCGTGTGCAACATCTCTTCTGAAATTCAGAATTTCCAATAAAGCATTACACAGTTACTGCATTTTTGTAGACATATTCAGCTTCTTTTGGTTACAGGGTTAACTTACATTTAACCCTGAGTAAAATGATAAATCTAAATTCTAAAGCTTTACTGATTGACTCTGAAATCTCATTACCGCTCGCCAGTCTATTCATTTCATAAGAAATAGGAAAACAATGTTGTCATCAGTTGCTGGCAAATAAAATCCCTTAATGTGATGTGAATGAAACGGCTGGGATAAATTCTCTTATTGATTTCTCTATATTTCCACACTGTGATGACAAGGCACAGGGTTGCCCTCCTCAGGCGGCAAACTGACATAACAGAAACAGAAAAGGACACATTCTTGACAAATAACTTGCCTGCAAAGTTACCAAAAACAAACTGCACTCTTAACAACTTGCGGACAATGATAGTTACCCTAACACGTTCTCTACGACTCCCGAACTTCCCTCACCTCTCTACTTTGTTTTCTCCCTCTCCTCATGTCTCTCCCCCCCCCACCTCCTCCCTCAGCTCAAAGTTATTGATAGTTTAAAGTTATGGCCTAATAATAAGATGGACACTGCATGGCCAGGAGCCTATTATACCCAGGTAATGGATAGTGCGGGGTTTGAATGACATTGCCCAGAGATTGGATGACAAAGGGTGGAGCGATTTATGGGCTACCAAAAGAGACCCCCGTCCCTCTTCTCTCTCTCTCACACACACACACACACACGCACACGCACACACACACACACACAACAGCAGCACCCCATGCTATTTATCTCTAGCTTGATAGGGAAGCAGATGAGGCATGCCTGTATTTATGGTCAAGATGTTCATAAAAAACTACTAGCTCAGGAAGTTAGAAGCTACTGAGAGGAACAGCATATCAACTTAAAACTCTTTATCCCCCCCCCCCCCCCCAAATGCTGTCAAACTTAAATACATTATTACAGTTGTGTGTTTTTGATGATCTAAGTTTAATTCAAGCTAGACATTAAAAATGTTCCTAACATAGGTCCTTTGAAACCCGCTCATTTCAAAGATGCGTGATATAATAACTACAAAAACAAATACAATGCTTCACAAGAACCGTCAGAGTAGTTAGGGAAAAATAAAACATGATGTGTGCGATTTCAGGTTTTGTCAATGCCACAAATCAACATAAACAACTTCTGTGCATGAGTGATGAAGTGCTGATACAGTGTTTTAGATACATGTATGTGGAGGATGCTACCTCACTCAAACTGAGCATAATTGGCGCCAGTTAATGAATCAAAAGCCTTGGGTGCTGAGAAGAGTACAGAAGACATGCAGGGGTGTTAGGTCCACAGTATGTTTGCTCCAAAGGCTTGGTCTCTATTGAGAAAAATAACGCCAACAGCAAAAGCACTTCAGACAGTGTTGTCAGGATAAAGGGGAAAGAGGAGTAGGGAGGGCTTTAGGGAGTGCAATGAAAAAGGCTTGTCAACATTATCTGTTTTATTGATTTAACAGTAAAGGCTTGCCGCTTAAGCTTTATGTTGCTTTGCCTGCCACCATTGAAAATACAACAGCTGCAAATAAAAAACGATTTCCTAAAAAAACGTGAGCATTTTTTTATTTATTTTTTTATTTGTATGTACTGCCTCCCAGTTCAGGTTTAGCATGTATTGTTGTTAAGGCTGTTACACATTTCATCATCTTTATGAGTAGGCATTATGGAGCCACCATGTTTAACTGTGTTCTCCCTCCCAAAGGGATCAGCGGCATTGAACACCGTCTTCTGTTGTAATGTAAGTTCTAATTAATGTACTGGATCTTTAACAACACTTGCTTTTATGATTCAAATTATAATGTTAGTATATAAATATATTAGAGCATCAATATTTTTACAACTAATTTCTGTGGACCATGAATGTGTTTATTTAATTTCACTGCAATCCATCCAGACATTTCAATAATGTCAGCCTCACTGTAACAATGGGTCAGGGGATCACCAAGTTTAGTATCAAGGATATGCAGGATTCCTAAGAGAGGCCATCGGTCTCTGTATAGAAGAATCACAGCAATATATCCCATAGTAGTTCAGACATTTCACTGTGGATATTATACTGAATAAAATAGTTTGACCTGCATGAATTCCTGTGCAATCCAAACAAGATATTTCACTCTAAATCACAAGTTTCATCCAGATACAATATTAAATGTATTGATTGGAAAACAGTACGATATTTGCTGATATCACAAAGTCTGACAATAGATTTAACTAAATTCAGGGGCCTGCAAACTATATGAGAAGATACAATATGCCCATTTAACAAAATCAGTTTCATTAATCAACAAATCAAAAGTTGAAATCAAAAGCCATCAAATCCAAGGAGAATGGTACAAATAAGCCCACAATATTTCAATTAGTGAACAGAAACAGCCACAGCACAGCAGTAAGTACTCCAGTTCAAGATGGATGGATACATTTAGAGCTGCAGAGGATTTTGAGGATTGCCCTTACAAGTGTCCCTACACCCCATGCAGAGCAGAGAGCAGTGGGGTCAACAGAGTGTGTCGCTGGAACAGCTTGGTGCCCGGTGGGGTGTCTGTTGTGTCCTGACCTGTTGCGGCTTATTAAAGACTCTTTGTGACTTGGTTGTGTCAGAGGAGCCGGGTATAACCAGAGGCCTCCTGCAGCTACCCAGAAACCCATCAGTCAACACACACAAAAGCCAAAGGATATCGGTTATTTTATGTTTTGGAGAATGAATGGTCATGTTATCGCCCTGACCATATGAAAGAAGTTCATAAATGCAACAACATTCAATGGAGGTAGCACTAAGCACTGTTGGTATTCTCTTAGGATCGGTTTGTTAATGTAGTGCTGCAAAAGAGATATTTGAGGACTTCAAACGAGGCCAAAGTTGCAAGCACCATCACCGTCTTCCTTACTTTGTAAAAATATAAATAGCATCATTTAATTTGAAATATGTACGAATTATGACACGTGTTGTGAGTAACAGAATGCATAGTGAGAAAAGATAATGATAAATGAAAATGGCTTTTTTTCACTGTTACAATTAACATGCCAAAGTAAAAAAGATAGACATGGAATGACCAAGAGAGGTAGGCGTATAGACAAACAGAACAAATGCTGACAGACGGGTGGAAGGCTGAATGAACACAAGCTTGTGCAGGAAACACAATAAAAATCCATAATTTGTGTTAACATGTGAAGCAGTGAAGTCCTATAATAAAAGCGGAGAAAACCCTTCAGTATTAATTACTGTCGACATGGAAAAAAATAATTAGATATGAGAAGGAAACAGAAACTATGTATGGCAACCGAGGGGCCTTAATGATCAGACTGCAGCTAAAACCTCTATTGATTTTCTAGTTAAATATACAGCTCAATTAAAGATACAGCTGATTAAAAAACAACTACAAATTGCAGCGGGGGATCTGAACATGCTGGGGAAGCTGGGTAATGTGGGGCTCCATGCCCCAGTCAGAGAATTATGTTTATCCTCTACTTCTCCTCCATCACTGCAGTGCAGTGGGAAGATAGGCAACAAAGGTGGGTTTCCATGTGAAAACCGATATTTCTCGTTGGGGCCATTTTTGAATGGAGATGTGATGCTCACAGGTATACTACACGTGGAAAAATGTTGATATGTATATTTATGAAGGGCTTAAAAAAAGTATACCTTTCTCAAAATGTGTGACAGAACGACCCACAATATTAAAGCACTAAAAGCAGAAAATCAATGCCGATAAGCAATAAATAACAACAAATACGCTGACCTCTGAATATATAAAAGGAGAAATAATCAAACAAGCAATACAAATCAACTTTCCTTGTTAAAATAAAACACCTGCTTAACACAAGCCAGACCAAGGCTCCTTTTTCTCCTTTCTGCCTCAACCTTGTCACAGACAAATAAAAACCTTGACAGTCTGTGTAGCCTCACCACGAGAAAGGAAGGAATTACAATATATAATGGAAAACCTTTCTGTTTCTCATTGAAGAAAAACAAAAAATGTTAATGTCTATAAACTGATCAAGTTTATTTGAAGTTGCTCATGAGTTTTAGATGCTGCATTATTTAGTCTTACATTTTTCTATTATTAAAAAAGATGTATGGCTGTTTCCAATCATATTTAGATGGCAAAAAACTAAATTGTATTTCTTCTGCCATCAGTTCTACATCTGAGAGAGACAGATGGATAGATTCAGGTATTTCTAAAACCTGTCTTAATTTACTGTTAAATAGCAATCAGAATTCTATTGACATTTGTAAACACAATTTGTCTCTTTGCTCCTCATTTTCTTGTTTGATTTACAGTCAGTCCTTGCATTGCAATAAATCAACCAAAATGATTCAATCCTATGAGTGTGGAGGCAACCCAACACAACAGATGATATGCCTAATTATTTTATAAAAAAATGTATACTGGTGCATGCATTTCTTTGTAGTCACCTTTTCTGCCTTCATTTGGTGTGTGTGTGTGTGTGTGTGTGTGTGTGTGTGTGTGTGTGTGTGTGTGTGTGTGTGTGTGTGTGTGTGTGTGTGTGTGTGTGTGTGTGTGTGTGTGTGTGTGTGTGTGTGTGTGTGTGTGTGTGTGTGTGTGTGTGTGTGTGTACCTGCAGGGAGTTTAGAAGGATGAAGATGTAGGCCATAACAATGGAGAAAGGCACCAAGACACCACACAGCCATGTCAATCCGAGGATAGGCAGCAACACCAATATGGCTTTCACTGCAGCCCTGTGTTCACACACACACACACACACACACACACAAACACACACATTCAGGCATAGAATTATTATCAAGCACACACAATTTCAACTCTAAACTGTTTGATCAGCTGATGGAGATTAACATAACCACACCAGAAACAATACATTTTCATAAGTATTCACGAGTTATTTCATAAAAATGGTACTTCCTCCCTGGTTGCCCCAAGCAACATTTTTGGGTTTCTTGTGCAAAAATGGCAGCTTTGGCAGGCTGCTTGTTCCATATACAACGCTGAGCGGCTGGAAAGGCTCATGGGGTGACAACTTCCCACCTTAAATCCGCTTTAATTCTGTTTAGAGTGGAATTATCTTCCCGCTCAGGTGCCTGCCAAACCGCACCAGCTGTGTGTGTGTTCGTGTGTGTGTGTGTGTGTGTGTGTGTGTGTGTGTGTGTGTGTGTGTGTGTGTGTGTGTGTGTGTGTGTGTGTGTGTGTGTGTGTGTGTGTGTGTGTGTGTGTGTGTGTGTGTGTGTGTGACATGGCGGGCGGCAAGTCCTAGTTTATTCAGCGGAGGAATGTGTTTGAGTTTCCAAAACGGCTGCCACCCAGGGGTGCCAAATGGTTCAAGGCCTTCTTTGAGAACTTTCATAAAGCACCTTCTGTGAGTGAGTGTGCTGAGGTAGTGAAAAAACACAAACACTTTAACATGATTTTTACTGATAGGATCATATGTAAGCCTGCTGGGGAACATCTACTGGATCACCCGCAGAGTTTTACATGAATGTATCCTTTTTTTCAAATATGGCTTTTATAAAATATTGCAAACACACAACCCTCATTTTATTTATTTTCATTATTATTCAAACTTTGCAGCTACAAGTAGTACATGATTACAAAATAAAGTAATATAAAGATGTATATATTGCATCCCACCTTGTTAGTATAACAAAATATCCCTTACAATTTTATAAAAATATAGGTACATTTAATTTTAATCAGTATGGTTTTCTTGCCGGACAGTTAAAACGCTGCTATTGTCAGCTGCTGAGAAATCACATTTTATTTTTTGTATGCATTTTAACTCAGAGGATCCCCCTAAAATCCATCTTCATAGTAATTTGATTCAAATCACGACAATGCCTACTGCTCTTATCCTTACAAATAATTCTGTATAATAATAAGAATCTCCAATTAATCAAATGTTTTCATGTGAGGTTTCAGAAATGTGTCAACAAAATTGCCCTTAATACAATTATAAGTCCAAATATTCTGCTAATAAAAAATAAAAAGCACAAAAGTATGAGAAACTAATATTGGAATATTTTTGTATCCTGTCACCACTGAAAGATACCAGAACACAAAGACTGGATATATTCAAAACATTTAAAGTGGTCGAAGATTGAAGCCTTTTTACATGAACAGTAATCCATTCAAAATGTATTCCCTATATAGTTTGATAAATGAGACTCCCTTTTTTAAAATGACAAATCCAATATAAAATCTTCCAGCTGCTTTTTATTTGACGCCCATTGACTAAAGCTTGTCTGCTCCAAGGCCTGTGGTTGGGTGAATAATCTTTAAAAAAAGCAAAAAAGCGGACAAATTGCGCCTCCTTGTGGTTTATACCTGATTTGCTCATAGGCTTGTTCTACAGGACTGGTGCCCATGGCCAACATGATGGACCTTCTCTTGGCTGTGGAGATGGTGATGACCACCACCCGGGTCAGCACCAAGATATTCACCTGAGAAAAGGATTTAGAAATAAGAGATGGCAGCGTTACAAAGAAATTAGCAGAAACAAGTAAAAAAATATGGAAGTGAGAAATGCATATTGACATCCTTAGGGGTTTGAGATTGTTGGAGAGGAAACAAAAAGAGACGCATAACTAAAAGACTGCGGTTTCTAAAAATCAAAACATTGTGTCGTAGTTTATTGGTACATCAGCTTACATTGTCAGACCTAATGTTGAGCACTACAGGAAAGAATTACAAGTACACAATGGCTATATGTGCCTTGTATTTTTTACTATTTTAGCAAGAGACTACATGGTGTGATTAGGATTTAACTCTGACCATGATGATGAAGATGACAGGTCCAGCAAAGCCCCATATAACGCCATTCTGGACACTGAGCCAACAGTAGCCGTCGGCTGAGTATTTGCCTGAGGCTGATGCAAGCGTGATGGTGACTATCAGCACCGGCAGACCTGAAAGGAGGGAGGGGAATAAAAGGGAAATTACCATTGTGATGCAATTAGTCCCAAACGTGAGGCAAACACAAATTATGGTTTTAGAAAAGTGCTATATTATATTTCCTACACGTATATTTAATCAATGTTTATCATCAGTTCCATGTCAATCAGAAAACAATGTTAAAAAAAACAAAGGGGCAATCTAACTGGTTTTACATTCATAACTTTACAATATCCTTGACATAGTCATAGACATTCACTGCAGGAGGGAAGAGAGTGATTTGGCTCTGTGAAGTCTCTGTACCCCAGCCGATGAGATAGTAATACTTCATGTGTCGCTCCTCGCTTAGGTTGACCGCAACCACCTTGCTCCAGAGCAGCAGTCCCTCCACCAGCATCCAGCTAAAGGCTGCCATGAAGAAGAGATGGAGCAGTGCTGCCACAAGTGTACACGCCACCTACAAAACAGCATTTAGACAGATACAATTTCATGTATTCAGATTAGGATCTCAGCTGAAACAGTAAAAAAAAGAAAAAAATATGAATTGGCAAATTCCATCTGACAAACATAATTAGACTAGTGTCCATTTTGGTTTATTGCACATTCATTTTTTACTCTTATTTGCAAGCGTAATTTTGTATAGAAATTATTCTCACTTTGAAAATTCAATCCAACCTCCTGTTCTCAAGACAAGTCCTAATGAACTGAACTTCTAACACCTCCAGACACAAAACGAATAAATGCTGTTGCCAATTACTCATTTGAAATACAATAATTACAGAAGAATGGATGTGGAGCCTTTACGTTTTCCACTTAAATTCAAATAAAGGAGAGGTTTCTGTCTTGAAACAAATGCATACAAACAGAGGTTAAGATGGTCAGAGGTTAAATGGGCAACTCACTGCCGTAGATGATGAATGAGGTGACAGGGCTTCACTATTATCTCATTTACACCATTTGCCATACTCAAATATTTTACAGTGTTGATTAACTAAAGAATGGTATAAAATGTTATCCTCAGAAAATATTAAAACGAGGGGCAAAAGTGGATAGAACAATTAGAGTTGGTTGAAAAATTAGGAATACCATACAATCCATAAAATATATGATTTACAAGATAAGATAAGATTTAGAAGATTCGCTCCAGGCAACTATGTCATGAAACAACAATATATCGTACTGTCTTTAGCAAAACATTGAAGCCCTCAAGACTTGTTCATTGTGAAAAGCTCCCAGGCCATGTCAGGGTAGGCTTTACCCCTGGGGGCAGCTGTCTGCTTGTTGGAAATTCATCAAGTGGTTTCATTATATATATATATATATATATATATATATATATATATATATATATATATATATATATAGCAAAATATATATATATATATATATAATGAAACCACTTGATATATATATATATATATATATAGCAAAATATATATATATATATATATATAATGAAACCACTTGATGAATTTCCAACAAGCAGACAGCTGCCCCCAGGGGTAAAGCCTACCCTGACATGGCCTGGGGTCAAAGGAGCAGGGGTCAAACCAACTACAGGCCATTGGGCGACTACTGAGAGACTGAACCATGTGTTCTAGCTGATGGATACCACATTAGTGGCTACTTATGTAACATCCAATGCCAAAGCATTTGTTTTACTAGGATCCCAGTATGGATTTAGATTGCAAGTCTCATTAAGGAAGCTATTAAAAAACAGGGCTGTGGGTTGAAATAGACTGTAGAGACGGTAGAGAAAAGCTTAAAAGTCATTTTTTACAAAAGGCTTGTACTATAATTGCCATGGAATTTTAAAATGTTTTTAATTATTAAGTAGTTGACAAGGTGAAAAATCGTTCTAATAACCGTAAATCAGAAATGTGTTTCCTTGTATCTAAACACAATAGGTAGCTAAGACTTTTACCTTAGGACTTCACCTTAATACTACTACGATATAAAAGACTAAATCAGGTGCCTGTACCTTGTTGTGGATGGCAGAGCCGCTGCAGAGCAGGATGACCTGGGCGCAGATCAGAGCAATGAACAGGTTCTTATGGATGGACGTCCTGTCAGATTTGGGAATACTAGGGATGAAATGAAAAAAAGGGTACATTTTAGAGGAATAGTAGATAGTTTTGGTAAAATATTATATCACAATATTTTGAGTGGCACTATTGTTTATATATGAAACACCAAGTGTTGACATTTTATCATAAATAAAAATAATGCTTTGTATAATGTACACTTTTAAGGTAACAATTGCTTTTTCATTACACTTAATTGTACAGGGTTTTTTGTGATAAGGTCAGCAGGATTGTCAGAAAGTTGGTAAAAAAAAGGACATCATTATAGAATTTAGAAATCAGCAGAGAACTTCAGGGCATAAGATAAGATACATGTTGACAATATGCATAACTTTCAGTTGAAAAAAAGCAGCAACAAAAAAAATTATTATCCTATCGCAATGCTCAGCATATTGCAAATCGTTTTATCTGACTCTGCTTGTTCTGAAACAAAAAGGTGTACATCGCACCATCTTATATGAAGACATATTTTCTGTAGATGGCATTAAATATTTCCTTTTCAGGCAACATAAATGAAATGGATACCTGAATTTGGTTAAGAGAGATAAATGAACCCTGTAATGAGCCCTCTCATTACCTCCTGATGGGTTCAGCCTATTTAGCCCTAATTCATATCTGCATCACTGCTTGCGACCACCATAATTTCATGGTGTGATTACACATCCATCTATGGACATGGGTACCTCTACTTTGTCTGTTTGTGTGGGAGTGTGTTGATGGTGTATTAAGTACGCAAATGTACATCATACACCAGCACGTGTGTGAAAGGCATGGCTGCACTCTCAGACTTCAGGGCAGTCATAAATTGTCAGGGCAGCTCCTCTCCAGCTGATTGTGATCCCTCTGTGACCCTAATGTTAATTAACGGCTGCAAAATGCGGCCATAAACCTTCAGAGTGGACTCACATGTAGACCTCAGTAATTACTGGATTAGCACTAGTCAATACTCATAGCAGCCTGAGGAACAGAGCATGAGCAGTACAATGGCAATAAGTTATCACTCTCTTTTAAGTGTGTGGACAAGAGTGTCACATCAAAGCCCAGGAGGAGATCCACAAGACGACAGTGGAATTATGACTTTGTTATTTTATTATACATAAATTAAATAAATTAAATTATAAACCTAACAAGTGCTTTGTCTATAAATCCATACAAACAGAGAAGTGTGTATTTACAACATGGCAGGCAGCAATAATTTATTTATATTCGTTTAAAATGTTATTGATGCAATTAAATAGGTGGATAAACCTGAGAGCCAAATTATCTGATGACATTTGAAGGTCCTTGTACTAGTTGTTTCTAATGGTTCAGAATATAAATAAGGATGCCTGGAAGTTGATTGCCACATTGCCATTTTTACTTATAATAGTTTAATTGATTTTAAGAGCTCCTTTTCATGGAAGATTAACCTTTGAACAAGCTAAATCTTTTTCTTTCAGAGCCTAGACAGTCAGAATGAAATACTAAATATACAGTGGACCTATTGTATTAAAAACAGTATTATTCATTGGTTGTATTGAACTCTTGCTTTCAATCATTTAAATCTTACATACATGCTGAATGTATTTAGCATCACAAAAAAAGGGCTCAGGGGGGGAATTGTATGCAGTATGGTCCAAACAGACAGAAACTAAGCATATATGTTGGAATTGCAGGTAAGCTGGATAGGAAAATCAGCTACTCACTCCAGCACAGTGAACAGCATCAAGGTGACCAGCAGTGCACACAGAGATGCACCCGCGCCGATGAACGTCAGCTTGGTCAAAATAAGCTCTTCCTCAGGACTCCACTGGGATAAAAGGGGATTTTTGTAGTGAGAAAGGGAGAGAGGAGGAAGGTGTTTTAAAATCACAGGTATGGTCAATCTTATGCCTTCTCAAAGACACTGAATTCTTACCTCATAACTTAACTTGTATAACCGCTTAATGCCATGTTAATGTACAATTTATTAAGCCGCTAATAGTTTTGTCTTTTGTTCATTTTACTACATTTATGTGCTCTACATGGACAGACAACATAGTTCGACCAATGCATTTTTTTCAAAAGGATATGCACACTGGGAGTGACACCTGCTGGTTAAATTGTGTACTACAAATCCTATCCACAATTGTTAGGGTTTAAATATGACAGCCTTGATTTAGATTCAGATTAGCAACATTTATATTTAGATATTAACAATGTGTCCCATATGAGGGAAAATGCAACAACCAAATATTACAGGATATAAACCACATATGTCCTTTGAGGTATAAATGTTGTTCAGCATGTATGATTTAACACACTGCATCACAAAACATATCCTGAGTTACCTTGGACTCCAAGTAATTCATCAGCACTGCAAAGTTGGTGGTGTGGTTACAGAGACAGGAAGTAACCCCGGAGCCAGCAAAGGTGACCATGCAACCATCACTGGACCAGCTACTGGTTTGATTATGCCTACACAGGGAACACGCAAGCACAGACACACCTCATCAATTAGTTTCCCGGAGTGTAGAAACTAAGCATTTAAGAAATAAATGATAAAAAATATAAAGTTATTCAAATCTCAAGGATATCTCACTTTAGAATGAAAAGTAATATGTACATTATTTATTTGTTTGGTGTGTTCAACATTAAAATACACAACATTAAAAAATTGATATATGTACTAGAAATTAATAAACTATTACATCTTAACATCAGCCTCAGTCTCTATTGCAAAAGTACATTTGTTTATGCGTCTGTGTTGTTGGACAAACTTACATCAAGCTGAAATTCCAAAAGGCACAAACGGGACTAACTCTCAGTGAATACTCCACCTAGAACCAGAAACACATGTTTGCACTTGTTTTCTTTCACTTTGAATATATTACCTTGGACTCCAGCCAGCCAAAAGTGACATGGATAAAAAACATGTGCTGCTTGCTGGGAGATGAACATTCTTGTGTAGTGACACGTTGCATTTGGTGAGTTTTAGTTTAAGTGAGCTTAAGCAGGAATTGCAGTTTCAATCCAGAATATAGCATTCTTTAAACTCATATACAGCTTAATTTACATTGCATAATTTTCAAAATCAGATCAGTTCAAACTATTAAAATGTGTGCTTGATACAGTGAGCTTAATAATTATACTGCTTGACACTCCCATGAACAATGGACCGTACCACATGTGATGAGGAAAGGGTGTACTTGACGGCCACAGGGATGGTTTGGCCTTTGGAGGCATCGCGCACGGTGGCTGATATGACAACAGAAGCCAGGTGACCGGGGAGAATTCTGGGAAAACAGAAAATGGCTACCACTTACACCTATCTTGCGATTTAGAGGGCATGAATAGACTAAATTACTTCAGTACAAACTACTGGTATCCACTTATGCTCACTCTTTCATTATCATTAGAGTCCAAGCAAAAGCATAGCTTATTTAGTGTAAACGACGGAACACAAGGTAACTTCTTGATTTTTTTTCGTGGTTTAACTTGAACCTATTATCAGAGCAAAGGGCATGGGTAAAATTAAGAACATAAAACAGAATACGGCTAACCTTTTTACTTTCTCCTGGTGACTCTGTGATGGCTCCTGTGTTTCAGACACAATCTCACTCAGATGGCGGTAGTGGGTATGAATAAACATCACTTCCTCATATCCTATTTAAAGAGAGGTGAGAAGACAAGTAGATTTATTTTGTCCTTGATTGAACCAAATACTGCACCAACACTTCAAAAACAACATTTACACATTGATGCCTAACAGGGGCCTAATGCAAATACACAGTTACATTAAATTAAGGAGTATATTTGAACCAAGTCCAGTTTCCAAAATGTCTGTCAATGATTGTAGGTTTATTAATATTCTGTAGTCCCAAAGGTTTCATATGCTGGAAGACTTTGGGCAGATACACGCAATATTTTTCACTTATGGAAATGGCCTTGGTGGATGGTTGCGCTGCTAATGCCCTACTTGCTATTTTGTTTCAATAATTTAAAGACATCAAGTGCAATTTAAATGTGACTCAACAGATAGTTTTGTGATTAACATTAGTAGATGTGTTTAAAAATGTAAATCTACAATTGCTTGAAGGATATAGAGCACACAGGCTATTATCTACAATTATTTAGCCATAAGATGGATGCTAAAATGGTGTATGCAATATATGTTTTGGTTTGATTTGATGAATGAGCTGAAAAGTGCCGCTACTGTACCTTACATTTAAAAAAAACATTGCCAAGCATAAGTCAAGTCAGCAAAGAATGAATAGGCACACATTTGTTGAGCGGCATGGTACATACCATTTGGAAACAGATTCTCACTTTGAACAACAGTGTGTCATTTGGAGCAGTAGGAAAAATGGGCACATATGCATGTTGTTTATATAACAAAACTTGCATTACGTGTGTGTGTGTGTGTGTGTGTGTGTGTGTGTGTGTGTGTGTGTGTGTGTGTGTGTGTGTGTGTGTGTGTGTGTGTGTGTGTGTGTGTGTGTGTGTGTGTGTGTGTGTGTGTGTGTGTGTGTGTGTGTGTGTGTGTGTGTGTGTGTGTGTGTGTGTGTGTGTGTGTGTGTCCTACCCAGAGCGTGTATCCTGTGGAGCTCAGTGTCAGGAATAAGCAACTCATCCTGACTACTGCTGCCAGCTGTGTGAGAGCTGACTGCAGATGGCTTGAAGACTTGACTAAGGCTCTCTTCAGTCAGCTTCTGCCACGTCAGGCAAACATCTTTGAGCAAAGACAGCACATTAATAGACATTAATAGTATTAGAATTAATAGAAACCGTAAAAATAAATACAAGCATATTATTATTATTATTATTTAGCATCAGCTAAATGCAATGTAATGTAATTTATTCATCTGTGATACAAAGCCAAGAGCTACCAGGTTTGGATCAATAACATTATACATGGTAGACCAATCAGTGTTTCAAAAACCATTCCCTGAATTGTGTAAGCAGAGCAAATACAAGGAGATGAAGGAGTGGAACACAACTTCAAAAGTCAGAATAGCCTGTATTTTGAATTGAGCGACCGACAGATAATCAATGTGTTCTCTGATTACCTATGTTCTTGGTAGAAAGAGTGAAGCCTCTTTTCTCAGCAGATAGACTTTTTGCAAGAGTTTCAGTGAGACTGTCAATGCTCTGCACAATAGTAAATGGTCCCACGCCGACCTGTACAAGAAAAACAGACCCAACAACAAAAATGGTTATTGAAGGAGGACAACATATGACTTTCCAGGGTTAAGAAAGTTGAACAAAATATATTGTGCTTAATCCCTGAAAATGGGACCAAATATGTATATACATATGTGGGAGGCCTTTGCTGATATTTAAAGTGACAGTTTGGTAAAGTTACTACCCAAAAACATTTTCCCAGCAGGATTGACTACTTACAAGATTACACTTAAACTGTTGTTTTTGTTTTTTTGGGGGAGTTTATAAAAATGTGAATTCAACTTCAAAGATGTTTGGGGAGTTATCCAGAGCAGATCAACACAGGCCATCCTCTTACCCCGTCCTCTGTGAAGCCCATCCACTGTGTAGCCATGTCGGGCTCCAGCATCGAACTGGCCACCTTAAGGTAGTTGGTAGCGATGGACACCATGACTTCTGCTGCATCAGATCCAGCAGAGTGAGAACCAGCCAGTGCAGTCAGGTCCTTCTCAATCATCTGGGTGAGGTAAAGGACATCACTGGAGGTGAGGAGGTGAGAGCCTCCCTCCTCCACCTCTTGCAGAACAGCCTGGGTAAGCTGCTGCAGCAGGGCCAGCTCTCTGTCCCAGGAGCTGTTACCACTCACCTGAGGAAAAGGTGGATTAATACAAATGCTAAAAAAACTGAGTTTAAGTACGACCAAAACACTAATTCCCTATCGACACACCTCTTGATCAGGCTAACGTTTCCTAAGCACACCGTTTTCACCAGGATTATTACCCAATTAGTTAGTACTGGAAAACATCCAGTGATAGAAAAGTGTAAACACATATTAATATATGTATATATATATATATTACCATGATTTCCTCCACTACACAGACTAAATTGAACTATTAATTGTAGAAATATATTGTGTGGTGGCAAAGTTGTGATATCCTTTTTCTCTCTCTTTACCACAGCAAGAAGAACTGTACTCTGTATTCTGAGTTCTTGAGCTGCATCGATTCTACTACAGTATACCACTAAAGTGATGATTTTTTTTCACAAACTGTTAAAGGGTCCAACTCACAGGTTTGATGAGAAGATCTTTGTTCAATCTACTGAAGAATGGGGTCTTTGGTACACTGATAACAGCCAGCACTTCTGCAGACAGAAACATAGACGGATATAAGACAAAAAATGCAATCTATTAGAGCCAAAGCACAAACAGCCTTAGACATTTCCAAAGATTCAAAGATCTCTGCTATGCTTACACATTTAAACATTTAAAAGTAATCATTTAAAAATTCTTAATTATAGTTATACTTTAAAGGACTATTCTATTTGATTGCAAGGTAATGTTAAAGGCCCCCTATTATACTGTTTTTCATCAATATATTATAGGTCTCAGATATATACAAAACATGTCTCTGAAGTGTTTGGCTGAAACACCAAACATATCATGCATTGTAGCATCTCATAAACCCCTCTGTTTCAGCCCTGTTTCAAAAGTGCTGATTCTGTGTCTGTTACTTTTTTTGAAAATAAGGAGCCACTCCACACGCCCCTCAGAGATATTTGGTTAAAAAGAACACAATGGTGCTCTAGGAGGAGATTCAGGTGATAAGGTGGGGGGGGGGGGGGGGGGGGGTTACCTTGGTGGGTTATTGGCTAATGGTTACACAAGCCAAACAATCGTTATGACATCATAAAGTGGGCAAAATCTGATCAGCTCATTTTCAGACAGGTTTTTATATAAATGGATCAGGACAAAAAGAGAGCGAATCTTTTTTCCTGAAACTTTCAGAATCTCTTTACACAGAGGGGACACATGTTTATGTATAAAAGACATGAAAAAGTAGATTTTGCATAATAGGTGACCTTTAAAGTAATGCTCTATTTTCTCTGTCTTTTAGGTTAAACTATAGCGGAGCAAATCAGGAAATTACATCAAGAAAAAAAGGCATAAACATTAATTGACATTTTTAACATGGGTACCTTTCTTATGGTGGCAGACGGCACTGTTGGGCGCTTTACACTTGGCTCGGCCCGAGCTCATACTGGAAGGGTTAAATACATCACAATCCTCATCAAGCTCCATACTTTGGAACAACTCAACGTTGAATGTTTGATTCTGCAAAGAATTTCCGTCTTTGAGGGAATCCAAGAACGAAATGTCCGTCACTGTAAAGTTTCCTAGTGAAGGAAATTGTGAAGGTTATTCTTAATGTTAAAATTCCTGAGAATGAAAGAGGGACACATTGTCAGTCACAGTAGTGTGAATAATGCAACACTTATTTATTCATAACTCAGTCAAAGCTCATCAAGATGTTATTCCAGGCAGATTTATAAAAAAATTACTTCACATCATAATTATGTGTAATAAACATCACATGTTCTTTCATTTAACCCCCCCCACAAAAAAAACGAAATGTCCATATAATCGTACACTAATGCCCCCTCAGTGAAAATGTTTTTCATTGACAACACAGTAAATAATTTGTCAGTGCGTTTTAAAATGATCCACAATGTGTTTTCTGATCTGCTGTTCGTACGGGTATTGTAGAGATAGTGTGCAACAACAACTCAGTCATAGTTAGATTGTAGAACAGCAAACAAATGATGGTCTGGTTGAGGCCTCTGCTATTATTTGATTAGGGAAAGCTTGTGGTCATGCCAAAAACAACTACGTTTTTTAGATATAGTGAAGTACTTATTGTATATATATCTATTCTACATTTGTGTTTATTGACTTTGCAGTACTTTATCTGATCTGATTCTGAGGTTGAAGCTATTATAACTCTTGACTAAGGTTTTTAAAACATTTTGGTCACGTTTGTGGTAAAGTCTGTCCTAGATAAAAGCTGCTATTTTTTGTTAAAAACCTTGGTGTGGTTATAACTTGTTGGTCCAAGAGTCACTATAGGAATGCTAAAGCATTATGCTTTCTAAATGTTCAGTTCAAGGAGGCGGAGCGAGGGTTCTGGGTTCTCATTGCTCATCGGGGAGCATGATGTCAGAACGGGAGAAGTTTGTTTTGAAGGGTGGGATTCTGAGTGACGTGATTCACAAAACATTTACAAGAACCATTATGAACTCTAACATTTGCCAATTACAACTTGGTCACCATTCCCTATTCATTGAAGGGGGAGAGCAAGAAACAGATTTGCTTTTCCCTTCAATCGTTTAAAACCTTTCAGAACGGCTTAATGCTGAAAAGGAAAACAGTGTGTATGTGTGTGTGCGCATGAGTGTGTTTGTTTACCGTGTATATGTATGTTTTCCAAAGCATGCCACAAATTTGAAAGGTATTAGCCAAAGGATATCCTGATCCTAATCCAAGTCATTTAATATAAGCCAATACCTGGCCCTAAAATTATTTGCCTACATAATACAGTTTCAAGTTGGCATATTTAGAAATTATCAACTTGTCTCTACAAACACTGGAGAGTTGTATTTATCCATAAGGACATTTTTTAAGCTTGGGAAAAAAAAGATCTGGAATAAATCAAGGGCAAAGGAAACATTTGGGGGGAAAAAAGGTTGGTCTTGGCAGTGGTATGTTATTACACCCGGAGATGCTGTCTTTTTGTATTTTTAAAAACAATTGCAGAATATGTAATGGTTCTGTTACTTACTCTTACTTTTGTGTATATCACTGTTAGTATTCACCAATCTAACTGTTTCCATGTTCTAATTACATTTGTTGACAAAAGCTTTAGTGATCCATATTTTTTTTTAAACAGTTTGGTTTTTCCATGTATTTATGACCAAAATCTAGAGTTGAGGGAGATGACACAGAGACAGACCTGATTTGTGTTGAGTTGTATCTGAAATTAATTATGAGCATTTATTGTACCCTGCATCGAATGCCAGATGGGTGGTGTTAACCACATCAGGCCTGCTCAGATCATGGCATGTAAATGCAAAGTGTGTAGTTCAAAATGACTTTCAAATGGTCTCTATGTGATTGTTATTTCTGCATAGCAACCTCGCCCATTGCCAAAATATCTAAACTGTAAACAACATTTGAAAGTAATGCTCGACTACCCCATTGGACCTATCAGCTAGATTTAAGTCTCTTCTGTCGTTATCGTGTAAACTGTCCTTGTTCTTGGTGATTAAATAAGATTTAGACTCGGGAAACCCTTCAGCTTATTCCTCTACTCATGCTGCATCTTAACAAATGTACCTGGGATCTGACATGGGACGTCTCTCCGCAGCTTGGTAAGGGAGGTCGCTATTTCCATGGCTGCTTCATTCCACTTGAACACCAGCCCAGAGGAAATGGGTGAACACTGCTTTTCCATAGTGTCGATTTCGCTGCTGCTCAGCACCCGATCCCATATGTGCAGCTCTGTGATGCTCCCTGAGAATGATTCATCCTTCTTAAATGGACCTCCAAAGGTCTCCTGCTCCTGTCCCATAATGAAATGTCCATCAGGGCCAATCTTGTCAGAATTTAGGCCATCTCCACTAGAGTCCGCCCGGCCATCAATGAATATAGCCCAGTGTCCACCAATCTGGCTCCAAGAAACGCACACCGAGTGCCAGGAGTCATCGTGCTTGAAGGCTTCTTGGTATGGTCCATGAATGCCATGAACCAGCAGAGCCAGCTGCACAGGCTTGCCTTGGCTCAGGTTCGCGCGGAGCTGGAACTCATTTATATATGACGGGATGGAATAAGAAAAAATTGTGGAAATTCCAAAGCTATTTGGATCAAAGCAAAGACGGGTGCAAACAGTCACTGAGTCCATGGAGGGGAACTTGTGCAGGAGACGGGCATTCCTGTCCGAGCGCCCACTGAACTCCAGGATCAGGGTCTCAGAGGAACCTTCGGTTTCACCCAACACAGAGAGAAGAAAGAAGCATTAGTGAAGGAAAAATCTAACCACAGCTCTCGGAAAGGATAGAAACTAATCATACATTTCCACTTTGTGGTCCTATTCCTACTGTAAACACGAAGGTAACAGTAATTCACTGTGGCTGAGAGAGTTGTATAGCAGAAGGTCAGTACAATTTCATATTTTATGACACTTTTGTTAAGCCAGTGAATAGGCCGAAAGAGGTCTTAGACAAGAAAAACAATAAGATTACTATTCAACACAGAAAGGGTGCTAATATGTTATTATAAAGTGGCACGAATAGCACACTGATCCTACTTGTTGGATGTGTCTTGACTTTCCTGGCAATCCACACAGGATGAGAGATGTTCAAGGATGATAAAAAGCTGGTAAGCTCTTGTATCTCTACTGAGCTGGAGACAGTGGCTAAGGCCCCAGAGCGCTGGTTACACAGTTCCTTTGCATCTTTCCATTCCAGGCGATCAGGCACATACTCATAGTATTCATCGAATATAAGATTTCTAGTTTCCAGTGTAAAGGCTGTTCAAAGAAGCAAAAGGAAGATTAGAATAACTGGTGGAAAGAGCCCCAAGAGAGCATTGGTATAAAATAAATTGATATTCCAAATACATTTGAATCCTGTTCAGATCATTACATTTGAAATGATAAACATTTACAAGCTTGAATCAAATCTCAATCAAAATCAGGTGCACATTTTAATCAAATTTAAAGAAAATCTACAAAAGAAAACGTCTTTCTCTAAATAGGACCTTCATTTACTAAATTAACATCATGCCATGTTGAAGGAGACTTGAATATTGATCGATTCCTTCAACTCATTAGGGAAGTGTTTACTGATATAATAGATCAAGTAAAAGTAGAGTCATGTTCTCATTGACTTGTATTTAAAGTCACTTCAATCCCCTTCATCCATCATTTTCTGATGCTTGGTTTGAACTTCAGCAGATCATCTTTACCATGTCTACATGCCTAATTACACTGACTTGTTGCAGCATAATTGGCTGATCAGATGATGCCAGCTGTTAAACAGGTTTACCTTATAAGGGTGAGGGTGTTTAGTGCCAGTGACAATTTGTGACTGCTAATTATGACATTATAATATTCAATCAAATGTTCACACATTATCCCACTGGCCTTAACTGTGACCTTGCCATCAGTTTAACTTTGTATTAAAGTTCAGTTTAATGTAGCCTATTCATTAAATGTGAATTGGTGTTCAAATAAAATAAGAAATAGAAAGTAACTCACCTGATATGAAGCTGTGGAAACAAACCTGAAAAATAATGTACATTATGCTCAGCTCATTGCTGAAGGTTTTAAGGACATAAAATCACATTTAACTAGAGTTCTTTACTAATAAAATGAGGCGATGCACAACAAACTAACAAATCGTCTTTAGAAAAAACTATCCTGGAGTGAAAACCTTGGTAAATACAAAAAATAAGTACTCACCAGCAGGCCTATATTTTGGAACAATAACCAGTGCATCCTGAAAAAACGTACATATTAATGTTAAGCAATTTGAAAGTGCTAAGTTTTCTCATATTGATAAAGAATAACAAGCCAAACGAATCGATATTTACCTTAATTAGTCGTCTTAGGAAAACACTTTTTTGCGTCTTTTCATTTCAATCGCGTCGTGTCTGTGAACGCAGCATTCAACCACTAACGGTTTTTGTTTAGTTCCTTTAGAAGTCAAGTATGTGTCTACTACCAGTCCGTCACTAAAGTAGGGAGCCCTGGCGGTAGCGGACTCCGGAGAGGAGGAGGGAGGATGCAGAGGGAGCTACAGAGGAGGAGTGGGTGTAGCCTGGCTGCAGCTAGCAGAGGGTTGCCAAATATATGGTTCAAGGACCTCCATGGGCCCTTTAATGGGTTCCAGGAGGTTTGGTGTAACTGGAGGCTTGGACAATGACTTAATACACAGTTTAATGCCAATCCATTCATCAACTCAGTGATTGCAGCCTAAAGTAGGAGTAGGAGTTCCTGAAAAGATGCAGAAGATGCCAAAATAGGACACAGTGACCACCAGGCACTACCCCACCATTAATAAAGCAAACAAATTGCAACAGAAACATTACACTACGACTTTAAGTGTAAATGTATAGGACATTGCTGTTAACTTTCATGTTTCACTGTCCACCCACAACAGATATCTTCGGAGTGAACTCCAAAGACAAAACGTGTTATGGAAGTCAATAAGTAGGTGTACACCTGTAAGCCATTATATCATCATAGTTATACGTTATATCATAGCTGTCATATAATCACAGTATTTTACTCAATACAAGGAAGCCAAATTAAGGAATGTGTATTTGGTAAAACACATCTAACATTTCCTACTCAAAATGTAGACTAACCCGCTCAGAGCCGGCCGGACCCATTAAGCGACATTAGCGGCCGCTTAGGGCCCAGCAGTCACTAAGGGCCCCCTAGCAAAAAATGAAAAAAAAATGAATTTTTTTTTTTAATGTCAGTACACCGTTTATTATCTCAGTACACCGTCGCCGTGATAAGTATGTTTAATTAATTTTGTTAATATGCCTAGATTGCCTACTCTCAAAGTAATGTATTATATTATTGAGTCAATCATATAATACATTAACCGTGCTTTACCTGAACCTCATCATGACACTAGAGAGTACAGCAGGATTGTAATTTTCCGTGTTCAGTGAATGCAACAGAGGCAAGGCACCAGAACAACCAGAGAGTTGAATGGAAATAAACATCTGTCTTATTGGCTGACAGGTACCTATCCTGTGAGCTGTGACAATGTTTAAAATAAACTGTCAGTCTCAGACTCAGAGTTTTTGAAGATGGACATAAGAACATTTGTTCTTAAAAAAGACAACAATTCTCAAGTGGTGGCTCACACAACAACCCCAGAGCCAGCACTTGAGCCAGGAGAAATTACAGCTACGTTGAGGTTACTTTGAATCGCGGGGGTAAGCTAAACCGTTAGCAGGTAGCTATAGCTAGCCAGATATATTAAATAAACAATTTGTCATACAATCTAAATGTAATGTTTTTTATCATTACCTGGTGATTTAAAAGAAAGCTCTCTGGGAAATGTTGACTTACTGTTCGACATGAAGCTAGAAGCTACCTTACAGTACACAGTTGATCCTGAGTCCTGTCAGTTAAAGTGTTTCATAGTTAGCTTAGCTAAGCATCAACCTAGCACTGAAATATATGGATGTTATGTGACAGTATTTCTGAGAAAAAGTCAGCTGAAATGGTGGCATAATTGCCACTGCTTTACGTGTCGACAGCATGTTTGAACATATTTGCAGCAGTAAATGTGGCTGTTTGGCCACTGACGTTGCCATAACAACACCTGAATGTAAATGTGCAACCTCTTTTTGTGACAGATTTTTGCATGAAATTATAATTCTTCTGAATGATATTCCTATTGACAGCTAGTTTCTATGTGAACATTATGAGATGGACAGCCAGAGAGAATAAATGAAAAACAGTTATGAAATACTATATGACAAAACAAGAATACAGTTTAAAAGGGGAGTGATTTGTAAAATATCCATAAAGAAAAATCTGTTTCATATGGGTGTTGAGAGATGTATCCATAGATCTCTTAATGTTGCTCTCAAAGTGCACCAGATTGATGCTTTTAACTTCAATATTTAAAAAAAAATCTCCCCGGGGGAGCATGCCCCCGGACCCCCCTAGAGGAGGTGAGGACCCCCCTAGAGGATGTTAGGTCCACAGTGTTTACATGCTTATTTATACAATATGTGTGCTTATGCTAACATCATAAGACAAAAGTTGGTTCCGTGTTGTGCGAAGTGAGAACGCACTAGAGTGAGGGGGGCCCCCAAGCCAAAGCTCGCTTAGGGACCCCAAAAGTCTAGGGCCGGCCCTGGACCCGCTATACAGTGCCAATTCATGTTAGAAGAAATCTCCTTGTTATGCTATAAGGGCAGTTTTTTTACCAGGAGTCCAGCCTTTACCATAAAGTGATATGCAATATGAATAGCAGGAAAAAGGGGAAATAAAAACAAACCTTTAGAAAATATCCTGTCCCTGATTCAAAGGAGGTGGCTAGCCCTTTAGCTTAGCCACCCCACTGACAAGAGCTGGAGGAAGGCAATCAACACAATAAGGGACACCTGTGTGCTGTTGGGGAGAGGGAGCATGGATTCAACTGCAACAAAGAACTGTTTAATCCTTCAACAAAGGAAAAACCTACGCTACAGGGTCCTTGTCAAATCAAACCATTTTATTGCATAAGCATTAACATTTTATATTTTAAACATGTGATACAAAAGACTTCTTGTTAAAGTTCATGTTTTAAAAAGAAACACCAGATATACAAGTCTCTCCTGAGTGCAAATAGTGGCAGTGCCTGTTATAAAACACATAAGAGCATCTCTTTATACAAATAAGCCTTCAAACAAGACCGAAATCATAAAGGGAAATGTGTCTGTAATATTTTTACAAAACACCGTTTCTAAACTGTTGCATTTTGACATCTTACATCTCTGAATTATTACAAAACGAAATAAAGAAATGACCTATTGGCCTCTGAGAAAAAAACACAGCAAAAAGCTAAAAATAGTACAGTACAAGTGAAAATTATCCTTATAGTCAATTACTGTTCCTAGTCGTGTATCTCCATCCTGAATCACTGTTTAATGCTACACATTATTGGTAATGAACCTATACATTTTTTAGGCCATATCATTATTGCTGATGTTTCTAAGCACTCTATGCTGTGTAGTATTGCTGTAGTTTGCGGCATTGTAGGAAGTACTTTTTTCTTTTACATTTAAAAATAGCCTTCCAAAAATTGCCAATATTGCTACATTTGGAAAGTCAAGTTGCTTCTATTTGGATACAACTTATTTGAGCTACTTTTATATCAACAATAAGTAATTCTCTGCAGTGTTCATTGCCTGTGATGCCAGGTTGGTGGTGGCAAAGCTTAAAAAGAAAATACCTACAGCCTGTTTGGTGTCACCATTAGAAGATTTCTCTCAATCAGCATTTCATTTTACAGTAAATCCTACATGATGTGAGCAACACTTAAAACATAAAGTGTTTAAAAAACGTCCATCACACCCAGTGTAGGCTGTCTTTTGGTGACACACCTGGAGGGAGAGAGTAAACTATCTTACTCACGACTCGATTTCTAACAGCAGTGTGAGTGTTTTTACTGAGTTCATCTTCTGTGCTCTTGTCTGAAGCAGAAGAGTTTCTGCCCTCTCCTGGCTCCTGCTGGTCCCAGGAGGATGAGAGGGACTGCAGGGCAGAGTGGAGCTCGTCTCGTGCCGCCATGACACTCTGGAGGAAGGGAAGCTGCAGGGATGGATTCGATGCTTGCCCCTTGGACAGACCAGTGATCAGCTCATCCACAGCTTTGGCAGAGGAGGAGATCAGCTCTCTGCTGCTGCTGCTGAGGTTGGAGTGTTTGTGATTTCCTGGAAGGAGGATGACAGTCAGACACAGGAAGTGACAGCTCTAACAACAATAATCTGTTCAATATGTTCATGCTAGCCACTTTGAAAAACATGTATCCAAAACGGTATTCTAATTCAATTGTCTATTTTAAAGAAACACAGAAATAGCAATTCTGATGAAAAAAGGAATACACTGTTCTAAAACACTAAAATAACCCACACCCGTCACAACAACCGTTCATCAACAAACTGATGCACTGACAAAACATATGTATGTCTGTTTTTGCATATGTTCTGTTCTTAAAGGTAGGGTATGTAAGTTTGAGAAACCGGCTCGAGATCGCTAGAATTTGAAAATACACGACCGGAGAAAATCTGCCACTTCCTTACAGAGCCCCTCCTCCAACACACACGAACGTGCACATGACCAATGAGGGCACGAGATAAGTTTGTGCACAGATGGAAGGCTGACAGGCAGGTAGGCCATCCAGTTATTTTAGGCGGGCCGGCTCAAATGATTGGTCGTGCTTTTTACAGTACTACGGCTTCCACAGATGACTTTTTTATGGATTTTTTGTCAAAGCACTTAAGATATTCATTGCTATCGGGATGTTAAGAGCATTCCATGGAATATAACAAAAAGTGTATCTCGAGCCGGTTTCTCAAACTTACATACCCTACCTTTTAAGTTGATACAGATCCAACACAATATTGCAGTTTCATTACTCAGCTTTTCCTGAAATCCCCTTTTTGTTGTATTATTGTGCAACTGAGCATTTAGAAAATAATCAATATGAATGTATTATTTTAGAAAGAAGCAGGAACAATTGGCTCTGGCTCGTTACACACCGTTTCTTCTAGTGCTTTTGACCAATCGATGTATGCTGTGGCTCTACAGTGAAAGTTACACTGCGAAAGAGTTTTGAGGTTAACATCGAGGCTGTGTGTGTCAGAAGATTACCTCGCAGGGCAGTAGACAGACAGGAATGCAGCTGACTGATGGCGTGGTTCAGCTGGAACAGCTTGGCCGCTGTAGACCTCAGTTTCTGCAAATGGGAAGCTGAGGCCTCCTCCTCCCCCTCCACCCCCTCCTCCCCTGGGCTGCTCTCCCTCTCCTGTTTGAAAACATGAACACACCCAAATAATGAGTACAAGACAGAGCAAATAAACATTACCAAATGTAACGCAGCCAACACAAACATACAC